ATACCAGAAATGTACAACATGTAAAAAGGGTGATGTTCTATCAACACCAATTATTCTCGAATTTGTTTTTTCATATGCCGGAAATGAATTTATGTTTGAACTTGAGATTTTACATGTCCGTGCAAAAAAAGAAGAAATTTTACATGTCTTCCCGCAAAAAAAAGAAATTTTACATGTCTATAAAAAGCCATCTCTTCAACATACTGTATTTTTTGAGGTTTTTTCAAAACTAAATATGGTTCCCCGCTACACCAGGTACAAAGGCGAGTTTCCTAGCAATCTAGGGTTGGTGCGTCGCCACCACCGGCGGCGGCCGCTGGCCTTGTGTCCTCCGTGTGAGGCTGTTGATGTTCTAACGAGGTGCTTCCTCTTCAGCTTTCTGTCCCCTAGCAGAAGCTAGGGTTTGATGTCCTCCGGCAGCTCCGCTGTCCGTGAGTCTTTCTGTCAATCACCATTGATTCAGCAGGGATCGGCTGTCCTCCAGCGGCTACGCCGACCGTGATTTTTCTCTCGTTGTTGTTCATCGGTTTCACGTCCTTCTCCTTGGATACTGACCGGTCGACATGAAAATTCTTAGCTAGAATTGTCGTGGCCTGCAACAAGCTGCGGTAGTAAGGGATCTAATTGATGTTTGTTCAAGTAGAAGCCCTGATGTTTTGTTTCTGTCAGAGACCCACTTGGATGAGTTCCCGGCAGAATGCCTCCGTAGAAGATTGAAGATGGATAGGAAGGAGGTGGTTCATAGTGACGGGAGAAGTGGAGGTTTATTACTGCTATGGAAAAATGAAGTAAAGATCTTACCGAATTTCAAAACGGATAATTACATTGATGTTTTTGTTGGAGATGCTCCGGATAACACATGGAGGTTTACTGGTATCTATGGAGAGCCATGATGGGAGAATAAGCACCTTACCTGGCAACGTCTTCGTGACCTTAGAGCAATGACGAATTTGCCATGGCTTGTTATGGGAGACCTGAATGATATTCTCTATTCTTTTGAGAAGGAAGGAGGTAGAGCGAGGCCGGAGAATTACATGAAAGCTTTCCAGGACACTCTGGATGAATGCCAACTTAATGACTGTGGATTCTTAGGGGACAAGTTTACGTGGCATCGTGGGAATATACGGGAAAGGCTTGACCGGGCTTTGGCCAATGATGCATGGAACAATTTATTTGCAAATTCAGTGGTGCAGCACCTGAACTATTACAAGTCTGACCATAGGTCGATTCTTATGTCAATTGGGGAGGAGATGGCACAGGAGAGAGATGGTAATAAACTATTGAGATTTGAGTCTAGGTGGTTAAAAGAAAAAGATTTCGCTACGATTGTGCAAGGTGCCTGGGAGCATTCTGGACCTACAGCACAGTCGGTCTCCTTGGCAGCGAGGTTGTCGATCGTACACGACATCTTGCACAGGTGGGACAGGACTGTTCGGAATCGAACAAAGAATAAATTGTGAGGCACGCAGAAAGAGCTAGAGAAGGTAGCTACTCAAGCACTTACTAGTGAAAACATTGCATGGAAAAAAGAATTGTCAGCGGAAGTGGAAAAGCTACTAGATATTGAAGAGATCCACTGGGCCTTGCGGAGTAGGGTAGACTGGATCAAGTTCGGTGATCGAAACACAGATTATTTTCATAATGTCGCGTCTGCCCGACGAAAGAGAAATCGAATTACGGGATTGAAGGACGCCCACGGAAACTGGCATGAGGGGTCTGCGTATTTAAATCCACTTATATCTGACTATTTTGCTGGATTGTTCTCAACTGAGATTGATGAGCCTGACCCAACTTTTTTTGAAAAAGTGGTCCCACGGGTTACAAGCAATATGAATGATGATCTACTTAAGCCGTATAGAACAGAGGATGTGAAAAAGGCCCTGTTTTCTATTGGTGATACTAAAGCACCAGGTATGGATGGTTTGCATGCTATTTTCTTTAAAAAATGTTGGCATACCATTGGAGAGGCACTCACGAATGAAGTCCTTGATGCTTTGCATAATAAGAAAAGCCCTGAAGGATGGAATGATACTGCTATAGTGTTAATTCCTAAGGTTGAGAATCCGGAAAATATTTCCCAATATAGGCCTATTAGTCTTTGCAATGTCTTATATAAGGTCATTTCTAAAATGATAGCCCTGAGACTAAAGGTGATATTGGATGAAGTAATATCTCCAGTGCAGAGTGCTTTCGTGCTAGGAAGGCTAATAACCGACAATGTGCTCATAGCGCATGAGAGTTTGCATACCATTAAAAATAAAAAGACTGGAAAATTTGGATATTGTGCGGTTAAGCTCGACATGCACAAAGCATATGACCATGTAGAGTGAATATTTTTGGAGAGAATGATGAGGAGATTGGGCTTTCATGATGATTTTATATCTCTGGTAATGGCCTGCATTACCTCTGTAAATTACAAAGTAAGGTTCAATGGGCAGGAAACATATATGTTCACCCCTACTAGGGGCCTCCGTCAAGGTGACCCTATATCCCCTTATCTATTCTTGCTATGTGCAGAGGGTTTGTCAAGTGCTCTGACTCATAAGGAGGAGGTTCGTGGCATTGAAGGTGTTAGGGTGTGCAGGAATGCATCATCGGTATCACATTTACTTCTTGCTGATGATTCCCTAATCCTTATGAAAGCTGATATGACTAATGCAACCTCGTTGAGACAAGTACTGGGTGAATACTGTGCAAACTCTGGGCAGCTGGTGAGTGAAGCAAAATGCAGTATCTTTTTTAGCCCCAATGTGAATGTTGATGCGAAAGCAGAAATTTGTGCTGAGCTTAATATAATGACAGAAGCTATCTCTGATAAGTACCTTGGATTGCCATCCATGGTGGGAGTGGATAGAAGTGATAGCTTTGTGTATCTTCTGGAGAGAGTCATCCACAGATTGAAAGGATGGAAAGAAAAGCTTTTGTCACTAGGTGCAAAGGAAATCCTACTAAAGGTAGTAATCCAATCAATACCAGTGTATGCCATGGCTGTTTTCAAGATACCAAAGAAGTTGTGCAAAGAGATAAATGATGCAATGTCTGCTTTCTGGTGGGGAGATTCATAAGAACAAAAAAAGATTCACTGGTTTGCATGGTGGCGAATGTGTATACCAAAAAAGCTAGGTGGAATGGGCTTTAGGGATCTCTACTCTTTTAACTTGGCTATGCTTGCAAAGCAGTCTTGGAGAATTCTGAACAACCCAAACTCACTTTGTACACAGGTGTTGAGGGCCAAAAATTTCCCTAATGGGAATTTTCTAAATGCGGGACCAAAGAAAGGGTCATCCTATACTTGGCAAAGTATAGTTGCGGGATTGCAAACTTTCCGGCGTGGGCATGTTTGGAGAGTTGGATCGGGCACTCAAATTAATATCTGGGACGACCATTGGTTGCCAAACTCTTATGACAGGAAGGTTCAGACTCGGAGAGGGAATATTATTCTCCAAACTGTGGACGAGCTAATCAACCCAAACACTGGAAGGTGGGACGAGGAGATGTTAAGAGATGTGTTCCTGCCGGTGGACGTGGAAAATATTCTGAAAATTCCCTGAGCAAATTCTTAACTGAAGATTTTGTAGCACGGAACAAGACAAAGACGAGTATGTTCATAGTCCGATCTGCTTATTATTCAGAGTGGGAGCATCAGTTTGGAGCTCGAATCAGACGGGAGGACGGACAAGGGTCTTCAAAGGTAAACCCAGTATGGGATATTGTGTGGAAGCTAAAAATCCTGAGCAAGATCAAGATCTTCATGTCGAAGGCGCTGCATGGTACTGTTGCTTGTTATGGGATTCTCGCGTCAAGACATATTCCAGTATCTGCACAATGTCCGATTTGCTCTTCTGGTTCCGAGGACATCCGCCATCTCCTATTCACTTGCAGGCGTGCTCGTCTTGTGTGGAAGGTACTTGGGCTAGATGAGGTGATCAACCAAGCGCTGCCATCTGACCGATCAGGATCTGTAATTTTAGAAGAGTTGTTGTGTAGCAGGACAAAGACATCACCGATCCTTGGTGGTCTAGGGCTACAGGAATCAATCGTCGTTGCATGCTGGTACATCTGGTACCAACGAAGAGAGATTGCTAAAGGCGAACAGGTGGCCGCCCCAACTCGAACAGCCTTTGCAATCCAAGCTCTAACATCAAATTTTGGTGCCGTCTCGATCTCTAGTGCACCACCTGAAATTATGTGGACAAAGCCTAGCTCGGGGTCCTATAAACTTAATTTGGATGCGGCTTTTTATGAGGATGGGACAGGAGCTGTGGGAGTAGTCCCCCGCAATTGTTCTGGAGAGGCAATCGCCGGCGCTGCTGAGCGAATTACTCATGCTTTGGATGCAATGGCAGCAGAGTCTCTAGCCATGCTTAAAGGAATGGATCTACTGGAACCACTAGGATGCTCGTGGGTTACCTTGGAGTCTGACTATTTGGAATTGATTAATGCATGCAATGGTGACATTGAAATTTTTGGCCCCTCCTCGGCAACCTTGGCAGAAATTTTTGCTAGAGCAAAGCACGTTGTTGGTATCTCTTTCCAACACTGTAAGCGGGATGCAAATTTGGTCGCACATCACTTAGCCAAACACTCTTATGAGTCGAAGTCTTCTGTTTTTTGGGATGATGATCCTCCTAGTTTCTTACCACCTCTTGTAATTCAGGATGTAACTCTGTTGGCTTCGAAATAAAGTGCGCCGAATAGGCATTCTTTAAAAAAAATGGTTCCCCGCTAAAAAACAACAACTAAACATAGTTCCATTGATCCATTCACCACAACTTTGGTTTGCATCGACAATTTCTCCTTTCCACCACTGTGCTCTTTTCTTCGGCCTTCTTCCCGGCTAGACGGTCCAGATCAGGCCACGTTGTGCAGTGCACCCATAGCTAAATCCAGGTTTCTTCGGCCTTCACCGTCGCTGAACCAGCCCGTTTCCCGCATCTGCCGATCTCCCCCGTTCCCCACCTCCCCCTTCCCGTCGGGCCGTAGCCACCGCACCGCCCCCGATGGCCGCCTCCGCCGCCGGCGCCGGCAAGTCACTGATCCAGACATTCCGCAAATTCTTCAAGAAGCCGTGGGAGATCACCGGCCCGTGCTCCTCGCCCGAGTACCGCAGCGCGGTCCCGGGCGCGCTCGAATACCGTCAAACCTGCCCGGCCACCCTTCGCGAGGACTCCCCCAGGGCCATCATCCCCACCTCCGACCCGGAGACCGTGTTCGACATCAAGTACTACCCGCGCGACGGCCGCCGCAACCGCCCGCCCGTCCGCCGCACCCTCCTCCGCAAGCCCGACCTCGAGCGCTACATGGCCGCCAAGCAGTTCGACCCCGCCAAGGACTTCCCTGTCCCCTACGTCAATTCTGCCGTCGAGGAGGACTACAGCGCCGTCGGCGGCGGTTACACCAAGTGATCCAGGTGAGGGCTGCTGCCTTTAGATCTGGGGTTAGAACTAGGGTGCTGTGTCATGCAGGGCTAATTGTAATCTTTATCTGAATCAGTGTTTGCCTGTTCTTTTAGAATCAAATGTAGATTCGGGGCGTCAGTACGTGTGTATAGTTGTTAATCCAACCCTGCTTTGTGAAATGAGATATTCTGCCTTGTTGCAACTCGTGAAATAGTTAGCTAATTATGATGGTTGGTTCGACAGTAACCCAACTTCATCACCATCTTTTTAGAGGGAAATGCATCATGCGGCGTAAGTTTTTAGTTATGGCCCGAAGTCAAGGTTAAGTATATCATTGTGAGTTGCTAAGTCTCTGGTTTTCAAGTGTATATCAAAGATATATTGGTTGGCTTGAACATCGTGATATAAAATGAGGATGTTGTTTAAACGAGCTACGAGAATCACAAATCCTGTTTTCCATTCCCTTTGAGCCTACTGACACCACAAGAATCCATTTCCAGCATCAGCCTACCCTATCCTTTCAAAACAGATGGCTTGCGCCTGATGGTTGATGTGGGGAACCATTCGAACCACTCACAACTTATTGCATGACAACATCTAATCAAAGCAAAAGAAAGGATGTCAGAAAGTTAGGAATAATCCAAACTACAAAGTTCATTTTGTATACTGCAGGCGGTTCTATTTCTTTCTTGATCGGAGTTCTGGATATGGGCTTATATGGTTCGAGTGAACCAGGATTAGATTTGGAGTGATAAATTAATCAATCATACCCTGGACTTCCCCCAAGGTGATACCGAAGGTTACCTCCTTTTGTGCACCCCTCACCTCCTCCATGAGGATGATCCACTGGATTCATTGCAAATATGGACGGAGAGCGGCCTCAAGTTTTTTTCGGGGTCCTCGAGATCGCATTTTAGGCCGAGTAGAGATGCTTGGGAGTCTAAAACAAATGCGATGGACATGGACATGGACATGGCCAAGGCTCTAGGATTTTTATATTTTGTTTATTGCATGCATCTCTTCCAGGGTCTGTTGCTATATTATGTGTATGTGTATACTTATTAATGTTGTCTGGAAGGAAGAATCATAATTTGTTTGTGTCGCCTGTAAGTTTTATTTATTTTGAGTAGGTTGTGTTTCAAGTTAGTTTGTTCATGCTAACTTCAGTAGATGTAATCTTTCACTCTAGAGTGCACACATTTTACATAAAGAGTTATGATGTTTTGCTGTACGTTTGGGAGAACTGGAATTAGCAGGACTCTCATCTTGTAACATGCCTAGAGGTAACAAATGAGATGACCTTGCAATATATGGAACTTGTTCTAACCAATTAATTGCTGGCTCAATCTTAATGCAACATGGATATAAGGTTTACACTTTTTTCAGTGGGATATCTAGCGGGCATTATAAATATAATTCTCTTTCAGTTCTGAATGTTTGATTGTTGTATGGACCAAAAGTGTCTGATTGATGTTCTCTTAACATGTTTTTGTGTTTTGGAGTAAAACAACATGGATCGATAGTGTGTGTGTCAAAACAAAAAACATGGATTGATAGTTGGCACAGTAGCTTCTGATTTTTTTGTAGTGGATTTGGAGATATGAACCATGATTAATTTTGATCAGTATCCGTCTATGCGATATTTTTGAAACCATGGCTAAAGATCTCCTAGCTAAGTCGTGCATAAAGCACCTAAATACCAACCTTATTTTAACTGTGTTACACATCTGTGATACATCTGAGTTATTATTTTATAAAGGCACAACTGTGCAAGAGATGAAACAATCTGTAACAGATGAGATGCTTTCAGTATTTGAGTTTGACATGCTAGGTTTCAGAGGTTCAAGAGCCTTCTAATAGTTTCTATCTGGTGTGCTGAAATTGACTGGAGATAAAAAATATTACTCCCTCCGCCCGGAAATACTTTTCGCAGAAATGCATAAAAATGGATGTATCTAGAACTAAAATACGTCTAGATACATCCATTTCTCCGACAAGTATTTCCGGACGGAGGGAATATATGCCATGGTTATAAAGCCAGTTCAATTCTACACCAGCTATGTTATTGGAGTCAATAAATGGTTGAACCGACTAAGCTAATGTATTTACCACCAATTTTATCCTCTTTGGGGCTAATGTGGTCAAGATGGGTACCAAGATGTTTGGCTGGCAAAAGTTGAGCTATGCTATTGCATTGAGGCAAGCAAAGTAGGCTGGTTAGGTCCAGAATTTATAACTGTGGCAGATTCCAAAATGCTTAATCTACCGTAATAGCAGCTTTGCATGTATTTATTATGTCAGCGTGCTGATTTCCCTCAAACCAAGAAAATCTTTTTGAAGGTCAATAAATATGCTGAATACGGACTAGTCAGTTTGTTTACTTTTGTGATTCAATGAATAATATATTTATCAATGTACACTGACACGCCTGGATAGCGGGTCGCATATTGGAAAGCGCTTATACCTTTCCAAGTTATCGTCGCTACGATAACGTTCTTCCACGCAGAAATTTAATTATGGACCATTTTATTGAGAGAAAGTTTGGTTTGAGCCATTCAACATTGTTCTTTCTCTGGTGTTTTGATTTTCTTTCCGTAGTAGTCATTAACTATGACCTATATACTCTCCATATATTGGAATTCTTCTATGTGTTGTCCGGTGGGAGCCTTATTGTGCTACTATAAACACTTAAACCGTCATGTCTCAATTCTGCATGGAAATTATTTCTAACTGAATTTAACTGATTTTCTTGTGTCGTTATCACCGTGTTTGTTATCTTACTGTAACTTATGTTCAGAATATCTAGTTCTTTCCTTGCTTGCCTTCTCATTTGCATTATCTGTGTCATATTCATTTTATGAGTTTCTTTCATGAATATCATGCTGCCAATGTCTGTCTTTCTTGTAGCATGCTTAATAATTGCATCAGGGCAACTGTTATCAGCATCTACTTTCAACCTGTCATACATTTTCACTGGCAGCATCTGCATTGTAGTACCACCCTGTTACTCACTTTATTGAGTGGTACAGGCTGTATGCCTATATCTGGAATTGCACATGCTGGTCTTTGATCTAGATTTCTGGGTGCCTTCTACAGTTTGGTCCTTTGCCTATCTGAATCTATGATGAGAGAAGACACTTGCTACTAGCTAGTACTAGCTATAGTTTGGGCCTTTGCCTATCGAACTCTAGACCTGAAGTTGAAGTCATGTCTAATTATTTCACTTCGTTTAGTATCATCATAACAAGGATTACTGATTCAACACTGCTTAATTTGGCAGGTCTTGTGGTCACGCTGCAGCAGAGGCTGCACTCACTTCATTTCTGCTCTTCCTTGGAAGTCCCTTTCTCTTTTGTTTCGGAGAATATTTTCTGGTTGTAAAAGATGATGGTGGCAATAATATGGCTCTTGCAGAGTAAACCGATGCACCTACCTTGTAAGTTGTGTTCCAGAAGTCAACCAGCCTAATGCTGATATGTCATTGAATGAAGTTATGGAAAAACTCAAATCTTCTGCTGGAATCGGCACATGACCTACCTGAGCTGCAAACAACATTTCAATTTCGACAGACCAATGGAATGATTTCTTTATGCAATGCAGAACATGGTCTACACATGGCTTGGGGTTGTAACTCCCATTCTCATGCCTTTTAAGTATCTATTTTTGAGATACGCGCTCGTGATGAACGGCTGGTTCATCGTGGCTGTGTGCATGCTGTTTTACACAGCTGGCTCATTGTGGCTGGTAACGCGCAAGCTGCATCATCAGAGTTGTGCATACTGAAGGAAATCGTAATCGAAATCGCCTGCCTTGGTCAAATCCAGCTAGAATTTAGCTTAGAGCTACTGATTGTGACGGCCCTAAAAATTGCTCAGCAGCGGCCGTCTGATCTTTTGCTTTACCACCAGCCTTACTACCTTTGGTGGTGAATAAGTGAGCATGCATGCATGCATGCATGTGTACAATGGTTTGCATGTTTCTTCTGCTTGTCTCTTTAGCTCTACCGCATGCATGCCGCCTGATTTGCTGCTACCGGCGGGATCAGAGACGGTCGATCCTTTGAAGCATGCTGCAGGAAGCAGCGTGACGTCGTGGTCTCGTGGGGATTGTCATGATGCATTGCTCGCTGCCACTAACGGTCAAAAGTCTGGCAAGATGGCCAGACAGGCGGGGACCCTGGCTAAGGCCTAGGATAGGATTATCATAGGAATAGGAATCTTGTAGGAAATGAGATGACATGTATCTCAAATCCTATGAGTAGGAATAAGAAACAAGATGTCATTTGGTTGACACCAAAAGAATTTATCCATTGAGTCTAGACTTTTTTTTATTTTCCTATGAAATGTGGAGGATAGGAACCAATCCTATGTAGGAATAGGAATTCATTCCTATGAACCGAAGGGCTCTAAAGGAAAAAATTCTATAAGAATCCTATCCTCTAGAATTCCTATAGAATTCCTCTAAACCAAAGAAGGCTTAACTTTGTCACCTTGTCTCTGCAACAGTGCTCTTTAGTCCTTGCCCATGTGATTGTGATCGAGTACCAAGTCCTTTGTGCTAGACTAGATTTCCTGGTTTATGGCACGGGGGGTCATGGTCATGGGCCGTTCGCTGGCTACATGAGGAGTATCGGGTCGAAAGGAGCAGCTATTGCGACGGCGCACCAAAACTTGAGTAGGTGCTACCACACGCGAAGACTTGTGACGTGTTTGGTTGCTCGCATACACCCCAACCAAATCCGTGCAGGAAGAAAATGTTTGTTTGGTTGCTTGTGTTCACGGTTTGGTCTGCATAGCACGAAACCTAAAATACCTTGGGCCAGGCCCGTTGGGAACCTCCGAATCGACAATTTTTTCACGGCCAGCACGTGGACGGCGCCGGCTGCATGTGAGGAGCCATGCTCGAGACATTGCGTTGTTTCTTGAAGCACCGGCTTTAATTACCTTCACCTCCCCTCACCGCTCTCCACTCTCCCACTATCACATTAGCGGCGGCGATCAGCGGAG